ATACCAAGCCTTTTCTGAAATCCAACTGTAACTCCCTCCTCTGCGTCTTATTTCTCTTAAAAACATCCTTTCTTGTTCTTCCTCTATATCATCTGCTCCGCTTTCAGCTTTTGTCATTTGATCTTTCCTTAGATCCCTGTCTTTTTTCATTTAATGCTTCCTCTTGTGCTTTCTTACTTCTGGTTTACTCTTGGTGTCGACGTGACTACAGCATTGCAGTCTTGTTGAAGATGCATCGAAGCTCTTCCTTCTTTCCTCCTTTTCCTTCCTTCCTATCTGTGAGATATCAAATCCTGTCACTTTAAGGAGGCTCTCCTGTGTTCAGCTGTGTCTTGTGCACTATATAAATATTTTGTTAAACCTAATATTTGGGGGTTTTATTGCACTGTATTTTTTTAAACTATCCTGTATCTCAGTCTTCAGACAAGGAAGAGAAATGAACAAAAGCAGATGGTTGGAGATGCTAGACAACTGTCGTCCACAGTTACTTATCCCTTTGGCAGAACACTTCAGTTAAACATTTGTTTGAACAAGAACTGTGTTTGCATGATATTCAATTTCCAATGTCTAAAAAAAGAAAATAAATTATTGAGTATTTCACCATATGTGGAAAAACTATTCATAGATTATTCCTTGAAAATCCGGAATAGAATTTAAAATCCACCTTCTCACATATAAAGCCTTAAATGGCCAAACTCCATCTGAGTTTGGCCAGATGGAGATATGATTGTTCCTTATGTTCCTAACAGAGGATTAAAACTTTCCTTTTTCATAAAGCCTATAGTCAGAGTGGCTCAGGTTATCCTCAGCTATCTCTATAGTTATGCTGCTATATGCTTAGACTGCTGGAGGACATTGGGACCCCTTTTCCATTATTCTGCTTCATTCTGTCGCTCTGCAGATTTTTTTAGTTCAATCTCCAACATTATGCTCTCTCTGCTTTTTCTCATAGTAGCTTCATCTGGTCTGTTCCTGTTTGGCTGTGACACCATCCTGGAGAGAAATATCAGCTGTGCTGCTCCCATCAACACCCTTGTTTATAGATATTTGAGATTGGCCTGTTTTTCAGAGTAGTCCTGTTTCCCTCACATGGGAGCTGGCTCGGAAGCTAGTCTGTCTGGCTGTGTGTTTTCTGGACGGAGCCGCCTGTAGAGCTGGTTTACAGTTGCCTTTTGTATCTATGTCTGCTTTTGCCTACTTGAACCCCAGTCGGCCTCAGCAGATAGCCGCTCACACTGAGCCTGGTTATGCT